GGAAGCCTGAACCACATCCAGATCTCCAGAGATGGGAAATTCCCACTTGAAAGGACAAGCAGATCAACCTGGAGTGACTAGAGGAACAGAGGATACTTCTTGAAAGAAAGACGTACAGGAAAAATATAAAACAACATAGGCAGACCGACTGTTACTACAAGAACAAGCAACATGCTTGCCCAGAGAAAATCAAGGCAAGTGGTCAGGTCCCCTCAGAGAAAACCCCCTTCCGAGACTAAGACTCAATGGGAATACATGCTATGATTGGTGACCACGCTCGACACCAATAAGGGGAAGTGAGGGAAAAGCAGCAATGAAGTGGTGAGCTGAGCCCTACAACGTCCAATGGACTTCTGTGAACCCGGATGAAGACCTGGTTGGCCAGCAGTGTGGCAAGACCTGGGGATTCTTGGGCCCAGAGTCAGTGACATAGCCACAGAGGACTAGAGTGGAGAGTGAAGCATCCAGCAGATAAGAAGAGAGGGCATATGCATAAGAACACCCAAACTTGCAGATGGTACCTACTTGTCCTGGCTTCAATGACTGGATGATCAGAGCTCAACCAGAAGTAAAAAGAAGCGGAAAAAAAAAAAAAATTCTCATACAATTTGATGAACTTGACCTACACCTATGGAAGCAGTAGCTCAAAAGAGGGAACAAGTCCTTACAGCAAGATCATTCCTACCCCCTCCACACACAGGGTAGACAGGGATGGGCAACTTGGACATTGGCTACCCAAAATGGGGGTTGGGGGGCTACAAAGGCAAGAAGTGACTGGCTTACAAGCTTTCAAGATGGAACCTAGACCCAGAGGGCCTGGAGGAAAGTAGAATCTCCAGTGAGTAGTGTTCAATCTGACTAGGCAGGGCTGATGTAATGAAATTCACACAGGTCTCTTGTGATACAATCGTGAATGATTGTTATCAGGACTGACTGTGAGGGTTGGAAGTGTAAAGGTGGACGTTTTATAGCAAGGAGGGAAGTGATTGACTTTTCGGTCTGGGAGCGGAGGTTCCTAGGACCATCAAGGGAGAAGAGCAGAGAGTGGAACCCTACCCAGAGAAGCAGTGATGCCTGAAATGGAGCCAGAGATGATGACGTCGAGCAATGGAGCAGCTGGAGACTTTGGATCCAGAGAGAGAGAGCGACTGTGTGCTGAAGACCTGGGGGGCACGGGGGAAAGATTGCATGGAGACGATATACGATAGAATGAATGTAAAACTAATGGTCTCCCATGTAAACTATCACATAATTCACAATAAATCGTTTAAAAAAGAACAAAGAAAGAGACCCAGGGTAAGCAAAACACTGCTTAAAAAGAAGAATAGGGTTGGAAACCTTTCACTCCACAGCTTCAAAATTTATTACACGGC